AACATTTTTGCGTTTCATTATATGAGTTATTAATGGCACCACGTTATATCACTGACGGTAAACTTGGTCAGTTCAGTTGGTACTCATAAACTGACAATTATGTTTACTGCACCTCTCCTGTAGGTACTAGCGTGATGTTATACTTAAATAGTTTTAAATTAAAAAAGAACTTCATTTATTGGACAGCTCCATCTTTGTTTGACTTCTGAAGTAGTGTCTGAGTATTACTTTGCCGAGGGCTGGCCGAGGCGGTTGTTGGAATATATATGTATATGAACCACGTGACTCATGTATGTTCTTATTGTAGGACCATGCATATGCTTAGATATATGCATATGAGGAAAGGCAGGGTAGTCTTTTATTGTAATAGAATCTTTAAGAAGATGGTCGTATAATATATTGCCCGCACCTGTATAAGCAGAAATAAAAGAAAGACTGGACAGATGGCTGAGTTCCGTAGGACTACTTTACTTATATTTTAAACCCAGCCGTTTGCTCTGCTATAAAATACCACATAGGTAATACCTCGTACTATGGCTACTAGACAACTGATATAAATATATATTTACTTTTTACTTTTTTGTAAACACATACTTTTTATACACAGAAACACCCAGACCAAATCAAACATTAAATGTTCATGCACAGAAATGTTTGACTTGAGCGGGAATCAAAACCGCGACGTTTGGAATAGTCAATGATTTTACTTTTTACTTTTCTACTTATTACTTTGTTTTCTTTACAAACATTTCTTTTATACTGATGACACCCTTTAAAAATGCCGTAATTGGCCAGGTTTAGCTAAGAAATATTGTAGAAAAGTACAAGTGACTTAATTCAATATGTTATACTAGGCTTAGGAGTGAGTTTATCCAAGATTTTTTTCTTTTTTTTTATGTTAGAGGGAGCAGATGAGCAGACGGTTCACCTGATGGAAAGTGATCATCAACGCCCATGAAAGTCTGCAACTCAAGAATCACAAATGGGTTGCCGGCCTTTTAGGAAGGAGTACGCTCTTTTCTTGAAGGTACTCGTACGGTATCGGTCCGGAAATACCGCAAACGATAACCCGTTCCACAGATTTTTTGTGCGAGACAAAATGTGTCTCGAAAAGCGCACAGTAATAGAGCGCCAACTATCCAGGTGATGGTAATAAAAATTTTGCCATGTGGAACGATGGCGGAAAGTTGCGTTCGATATTAGCCCGAAGAAATCTCCATGATATATACGAAATAAAGGTCGGAAGCAAAATTATAACAACAATGTACTTGCTTTATCAAATACACTTTAAATCTTTATACCTGGGCTACCACTTGATGATGTAAACAATGTTCAAGACCTCTCTTGTGTTTTTTTGGGCTACCTTTTTACAGCTCAAGATAAATCTGCCCACATTCGTTGGACTTAGCTCTGTGCCAAAGGTTCTGATTCCTAAATAAATATTTAGGCATCAGAATCTTCGTTCTAATGTCAACAAAAGTATAAAAATAATACCAGAACCATGTCCAGTTTTCCAAATTTGATTAGACTTACAGCCGAGAGAGGAAGTTTCAAGACGACGGCTCGACAGAAAACCGCTGTTGATCAATTCTTTTATCGAGTAAGTAAGGTTACTGGAGGTCCAAAATAAAAAAAAAACAGTAAATGTCTTCTTTGAATAATGAATAAAATAACTATAGAACTATGAAGAGTAAGTGTTATAAATAAGCACACACATATATAACCACACACATATATAACCAGGAATAAGCAGAAACTGATCACAATATTTATATTACACAGAGGACAAATATTGTGTGATATGCTCAATCATATTTTGTTCTTGCGTAATTTATCTGGAATCTTTATGTATGTTTTTAGAAATATTTAAGCGTGTCAACCTGCAGTCCAGTTACAACAATAAAGGCTCTGCATAATTGATATTTTTTTTAAAAAGACAACTCCCGCATTAGGAATATATCCTGTGCCCGGAGAACTTTACAAACATACATGAAACGGACACAAAGAACACCCAGACTCAGAAAAACAATTTGTGGATCACTCAAAGTGTCGTCCCATGTTGGGGTCCACCACCGCCACGCCGCTTCACCGCCGTTGTGGGTTCACCACAACACTCGGCGCACTAGGAAAACGGCGTGGGGACCGCTTTAACCACTACGCCATCCGTGCAGTCAGTCAGTTGAAATGTAGGTATCATGTCAATAGGTAAGTAAGTATCTGAGTTTACATAAGCAAAACTTTCGTATAGGTCTGGCACAAAGTTTTTCTATCTGGCCTCTTAATTTGGTGGTTAGTCCTTTGAGTCCCCCCCTCGGATTTAAGGGGAAAAGGCTCAGGTATTCAGTAAACGTTTAAATTATGGAACGCAAATATTAATAGTTATTGAAGGTACTTAAGTGAAATGCTTCTTAGTAACAATAATTGTATTTTTAAGACCACGCTTATTTTCACTAAGGTGGTCTTTCTATGTTAAGACCAGCCTGCTTATAACATTGGTCATTAACCATTTAGTAGAAGATTGGAGTCTTTGAACAAAAATGATTGCTAATGGCTTAGAGTCGTTATTTAAGAGGTATTTATGGAAATTATTCTGCCAGTGTTTTTGTTTTAAAGGTTTTAATGTATTCAAGAATTGATTGTCGTTGATGCCTTATTATCCACTTAATGAATCGAATCAATTACTTAATGGCTGAACAAAATAGATTATATATTTGTGTATGAGGGAAATTGTGTCCAGTTTCTAATATTTAATACTTTTTAAAACCAGTTTGCACCTTAACTTGTAGCTCGTTATTGTAGATTCATTCAAGCTGTACTGTTAATACTCTGTGTGCAATATGGCTACATATACATATATTACAAGCTTAGCATTATAAGCAGTTGATATCGCAATGTTGTGTATTTCTCAATAATGAAGTGAAGACTTTCATTGCGAGTGGCAGGATTAAGTAAAAAGTAGTTCAGGTGCTTTTCACGAGATGGCGTTGTCTCATTCTGAGTATATAGAAGTGTATCATACTACCTTTGTATAATTATGATATTTAAATGAGACGGATGGGTTCAAATAATGATGGTGCTAATGAAAAACGAAGTTTCGACTAAAATAGTGTTAAACTTGTTTTTTTTTTAATGAAATATGGAAACTGTCTATGGACAGTCTGATAATCAATCTGACAGTCGGACAATCTGACTATAGTCTACCTCACCATTGAAATTGTCAGATTCAAACCGCCTCAACGACACAGTATTTTGTCACAGCTGGAACTCCTAATAAGCTTAAACCTCAACATCTGAAGATCATTAGAAATCTTCCAATAGATTAACAGGCGACCACTTACACAGGATAAACCTAGGTTAAAGTGTATTGTTAGCATTTGTCCATCACGATGTTATTGCTGGCGGTTCAGCTATAACTTTTGGTTTCTATCTTTTACCTCCAGCTTGGCTCATTATTGGTGTCCGTGTGGTGACGGATTAAGAATACGAAGTGTCACCACCCCTATGTATCCCTGGGTGTCGTAAGACCCGACTTAGTTAGCAAACTATGCAGGACAACAGTACTGCAAAGAGAAGGAAAACTTGACACAAACCCTATACCAACCCGTCTGGCCACCGTGGTATAGTAGGCTAAAACCTCCTTTCTAAGTTATGTCCAGCTGTGGACTGTTAAAGGCTGATGATAATAATGCTCGCTCACTATTTCTGATATTCCAGGATATAGGGAGGAGATATTCTACTTCTATGCCAAATTTTAATCCAGATCCATTCAGTTGCTATTGAGTAACAAGCACAGATCCAAATTTTTGTTTTTTTAATAGTAGTCTGATACCAATCATGCCACATTCCGGTGTAAAATAGTCGGGGCGGAGGGGGGGGGGGGTCGTATACTTGTTGTAGATGGCCCGAGGTATGTCGGGGCACCAGGGACTTCCTTTCTAGGGTATACCTGGTTCCCCGGTTATTAGTAAACGAGACGACCCGGTTTTAGTCGGTTCGAGTCCGACATGCCACCGATAGGTGGTATCCGAGGGGATTTCCGCACGGAAAAAAAAAGGTGTAAAATAGTATGGTCGCACCAAATAAAAGGATTAAATAAAAAGGCTAAAGTCAATCGAGTGCATGAATATTTTATTTTGTACGTCTCCGTGGAATGTCGTCATAACAAACATTTGTTTAGGCAATAAAAAAAATCTTTCTACTTACATTTATATTTACAAAAAAACACGTAAATTAACGTATTATGTCTGAGTATAAGTATGTCATAATTTCACTACTTTGAGTAAATAGAAAAGTCTATGGTAAATAAACATCAATAATATTGAGCAAAAACAGGAATGTTTGTCGAGTATTTTCTTTTGACTTTTGCAATCTCTTTTTAATATAAAAATGTAAAAAAAACTAAATTGTCATCTACACCGGCTAAACTAAAACATTCAAAAGAGATAACAAAAGAAACAAAATCGTACAAAAGCATTGACAGTTGTGATTAAATATAAGAACTTAGTAATATGAAGACTTAAAAGAATATAGAAGAAGTTTCACAATGCACTCGAAGTTAAATGTTTACAACCTCAAACAACACTTCGAAATTCTACTACAAATAAATTATATTCAAAAAGTTTTATACAAAAATATATATAAGTTTTCGTCAAAATGGAATGTCACAACACCCGGCTATTTCCATCTTCAAAAAAAAAACATAAATCATTATCTATAGTAACCTAACTTATGCACTATACAATGAATAATTTATTTATTTACAAATCATTTTGTACATAACCATAAACCAGGCTCGTTAAGTACCGATAACATTGTATTACCTAAAAATTACTTATTATACGTATTTGGATAGACTCTTTCAAGCGATAACAAATCAAACAACATTCGCGCACTGTTTGAGCTTAAACAAAAATCACATTCCTTTATACTGGCCTTGAATCATACACTGACGACAATTATAAAGTCTCTAGTAACGGCACTAAGTGACGCACGCTGTGACGTCACACTTTGGTGGTAAGGTCTAGAGGGTGCAGTTTGATCCTCTTTATTTGTGAGTATGACACGTCTTCCTCCTCGCTCACCGACCCCACCCCACTGGCTGAGTCTCCGTCTTCGTTATCTGGTACTATAACCTCGCTATCGTCAGACCTCCGCCGTGCTGAACTTGACCGACCATCAGACTTCACTGATAAGTCCATTGGATTCTCCTGCAGTGGTGATTCTGAAGTTCTTCTCTCAGCGGGTGGTGTTGGAACAAAGTCTGTTTCAGAGATTACGTCCTCTTGGGCGGCAGGTTGCGCAGATCGTTGCTGTTTTAAAATCTCATCAAGGAAGAAACGCTTTGATGAATCCGCGTTGTGATCATCAATTCTGACGTCATTGTTGTTTTCAGCCATTTGCCTTAATGCAGCGTGGTCAAGAAGATGTCTCGAATATAATGGGTGAAAGCCAGGTGGAAACAATAGCGGGTGGTTCGGGGCGAATGGGCTGAACGGGGGCGGTGGTAAGAAAGGCGAATGGTGAAAATGGGGCAAGGAAAGGTTGGCTAGTGGCATTGGAACAAAAGCATCTCGAGGAGGTGTCAGCGGTCTGTCTGGCGGTCTGGACTGTGTAAGTCTAGATTTCTCATCTAATTTTGGCGATGAGCCACTTTTGTGGGAATCTGGAGAAGCGGAACAAGGTGGTTTGTAGTCGTCAAGACCAAGTAGAGCCAGTTCTTCTTTTGTTCTGGGCCTTGCAAGGCCGGGAAAGAGATGCGGGGGAAATGGAGGTGCCATATGGTGCTGGGACGTTGGTACCCTTGGAGGTGAGTGGGACTGAGCAGCTTGCTGCTGTTCCTGAAGGAGGCAGTGAATCTTGAACCAGTTAGAACGGCGGCCGTATCTGGAGCCGGACTTAGACATGCCAACCATAAGGCACTTGCGGAGTCGACACGCCTTGCATGCTGTTCTGTTCTTTTTGTTGATGACGCACTCGCCGTTGTTCTTGCACTCTGTGATGGAGTTCAGGTTGTTGTATGACCGGCCGAAGAATGACTGAAAAGAGAGAAAATAATGTGTTAATAATATTATCATGTGTCTTTAAATTGTAGGAAGGAAGAAATTGTTATCTCATCATCGCAATTTTTTTTAACTTGAATTGAAAGTGATTCTTTACTTTTGTAGTAGTAACTGATTTAAACTATACAAACATTACTTAATTGTATTCCTTATTGATTATTTCATTATAGTTACAGTTTAAATATAATTTAAAAGGATTTTTTTAACTTTTACATTAATATGACTCTTCTGCGCTACAAGTAATTTAAAACGTAGTTTCTAAGATAAGAAAACGTTGAACAAAGCAATGCGGATTCAAGTTTTTTTTAACGTATTTTTTTTAGTTTTAAATTTATAAAAGAGAAAATTAAGAAGACCAAATTTTGATTTATTTGGTATTCAAATTATATAAGTAAAATGCTTTCTCACGATACTGGATTAGACGATATTTATGCGACGCACATTCATAAATTATTTGTCACAGTCGCCCACTAAGGCCTTAAATAACTAGTCAGTTTCTATGTAAGATTTAATTACATTTAATAATTATAACAAGTTCCTGCTCCGCCATGTCTGTGCATATGCATACTTAATTGAATATTTATATACATATTTGATTCGTAGACATTATGCGATGCATCGTAGCAGGTGGCATTTACAGGTCGTTATTAAAATATGCGAATAATTAAAACTGTATTGCTATCAATACATTACTAGATGATATTGCCGTGTTAGTTTTTGTTATTACTTGTTTTAGGATATTAATTATAAGTTTAGTTTAGGTTTATGACAACAGATGGCTCTGGGAGTTGCGAGTGAATTGGAAATTATAATTAGTATGATGTCTTAGTTCATAGATGGCGGTATTGTCGTAAATATTTTTGTTTGTTTTAGATGGATTCCGTCATATATAACAGATTTCTACGGTATGGTGCAAGACAGACAGGACAGTGTTTGTTGTTGAATTTGGTAGCAATAAAAGTTCCCAAGGTAGAAGAGAAGGATCGAGAGGAAAAAGAGGAATAGGTTTGCAAGTATTTTCAGTCAATCTTAGTCAAAAAACGTTTTTATAAATTAATAACTAATAAAATTTAATTAATTTTAATAAATTTTATTGTACCGTAAATATGAAGCTTTGCGTTATGATGAATGAGTAGATTTATTTAATTGTACATATATTTTCATTCTAGAAGATTACGTTTATTTAATTTAAATTGCAAATGATAATAACATGCGCAGAATATTACATTTATTTTCTTAATGTGTACTGGAATAATTGTGTCAGAGTTTTCATTTGACAACAGTTATTTTGACCTAAAGACTTGTTTACACGCCCGCCCGAGCGCGTAGCTTCGATAGTGAAAACTTCGCCTTATGTCATTTCCACCACCGTAACGTCACTTCCGTTGGATATGGGCCGCAGGTTCGGTTCCGGTCTGTTACACTCGTTTAACTCTGCTTTTGTTTTCATATGACCTTGATATTTCGGTGAATTTCTTACGTAATGTTAGGCTATTGTTTTAACCTTTTTGCTGGATTAGTTTTAGATTGTATAGATTACAATCAGTTGATTTGATTTTGATATCGTTTACTATTGTACAATTGCTTATTTTTAACAGTGGTTAATAAACATATTTAAGTATTAATACTATTAGGAATACTATTTATAAGATTTGGTGTCGTAAGAGCCGACTAAAATAGCAAAAAAATAGCGGTACTGTAAAGAAAAGGAAAATTTGACACAAACCCTATACCAACCCTTCTGGCTAGCGTGGTATAGTAGGCCAAAACCTCCTCCTCCCAGAGTAGGACACCTGAGGCCGACCGTCAGGGTGATTTTTAGTAGAATCACCACATACTCCTGGCTCCTGAGTGCCCGAGGAGCAGAGGTCCGTAGGGATTTTCTACCCCGTCAACAAAACCTCCTTTCTAAGGAGAGGAGGTCCAGAAGTGGGCTATTAAAGGCTGCTGATGATGATATAATTTACTAATATAACTTTGAAGACAGCTTAAAGATCTATTTTTAAATATTTAAGATGCAAATTAACTGAAGGCCCACCTGATGAGAAGCGATTCTAAAAAACACAGCCTTTACAAATTTATGACTCATAAGCCCATTAAACGATGTCTATAAAACAATAAACAAATAAATTTAAAATGAGAAAAATTCAATTTAAGCTATGGCGTAAGCTTCTGCCTAAATGCTATTTCTTGCGATTGATGGTTTGATTTCGAGGTTACAAAAATGTTCACCAGTAGTTCGGATGTAGTTAGTGCACCCGGTACACTGCAAAAAGATCTTTATCACCTCTCTCTACCCCCTCGGAGATATACAGGTAATAAAATGGTAATAACTATCACTTTGGAATCTCTTTTACAACCCCTACCTATCATCAAAATTCTAGTCGGAGCTACTTCTAAAACTATTCTAAAGCTACCTATGTATGATAATTACTAAATAAATTTAATATTACGTTACGTTATTAGAACGCATTACGTATGGTTATACGGTACAACATTAATAGAAACATGAAATACGAGCGTCAACTAAACGTACACGCGTTAACATTACCGAAATGGTTGCAAAACGCCACATCACGCCGTGAATGATAATCGACGGACCATTTGTAGGGCTACCATGATACTTAGAGAGAGACTTCATTTTTAATAACTGGATTTAAAATCATAATTTTTCGAGTTTATTTTTTGTAACATTTTTTCTCCCGCTTTTTGCAATCTGTGGGACGGATTTGACGGAAGCGAAATTTGACCAATGAGCGGTGACACAGACTTGGCCCTCCCTCAGATGATAGGTAAAACTTTTTATTCTTACTCCTCCGAGCCTTATTTTCAAACTAGTTCGTGGGCGACTTTAAGTCTACCAGGATAGTCTGAATTTCGATTTTTTTACGAGGAGCGACTGCCATCAGACCTTCAGAACCCAAGTACTAGGCGACCTGTTGTTTGACTTTTTAGAGCTTCAAAATTCGCGTAACGATTGCCACAGATATTCATGTGGCAATCGGGAGTAATCAGAAAGTGCTCTCCGAGGCACGGCGAGACTTCTAAATCTTAAAACAATATAAAATGCAAAAAAAGTCCTCCACTTTTTTTTTTTTGGTTGCAATGTAAAAATATCATTAGGATGTAGTTATTACCTAAAATTTACAATTAAGGTAAGCCCGTAATAGGCCTTGCTTACAATTTGACCATAATATACAAACAGGTTTGATATTTAGTGGTTTCAAATAAAAAACAGTTCATCAAAATCAACAACCATTAAGATTCCCCTACTGGACACAGGCCTCTCCTTAGAAAGGAGGTTAGAAAAACAGTTAGATAGCCAAAGTTAACTAGAATGTAATACAGTGTGTCAGTTTATCAGGAATATCCCGAGGGTGATGTGTGGTGACACTACAATTAACCGATTGCAGGATCACGTCATAGATGAAGAATTTAAACTGAAACAATGCCATCTTCGAACGTGCTGCGCGCGTGATCCGAATCCTACTGGACATCGCGGTATTATTCTAAACATTATACACATGCGCGAATTTATACCTTTTCTCAAGGGACATAGGAGTGTTTTTCAGTGTATTGGTGATGGGTGTTTTGGTGATGGCATCGCTAATTTAAAAGAAAAGATAATACAATACTTTATAAGTTGTATTGCATTGTTATTTAACGGTGGCGCTGTGTGTATCAATGTAGCGTAGATATTTAATTCAATATTTTCATTAATGCAATTCTGTACATTGCCTTTTTTGAATAGTATGATTGAGTACTTGGGGCGATGCCACTTAAATTAAAATTCGTCTGTTGTCTGAAGAAAATTGTTTGGAAATTGGCATGATATATTATACTGTTACCAACACTATATGGATGAATTTTGTCTGTAATAAAGGATTTGATTTTGAATTACCTGCCCTTTTCATTATTTTACTTGGGGTTGGTGCAATTGGTAACCTTGCACAGGTTTTTTATGGGTTTCTTTAATGGCTGAGTCTACATACCTCAAGACTTATTAGAAAGTGTATTTTTTTTAATTTAGCAAAATTCAACCTCAAAATTTCAGATTACTAAATTGTATAGGCTCCATCTAACACTAAGACTACAGTACCTCTATATTTTATTTTGTAATGAACTTAGACATAAGAATGTTATTAGTCCTTCTTTCTATGGTCTGAATATTCTTATTTTATTTACCCTTTCTTGGCAAACAATGTTTTAAAATAAATAAGATGCCCATAGAATAGGAGTAGAATAGCTATTTAATAATATATCTCATGAACAGCCTTAATTTGTCGACTGCTGGACATATACCTCTCTTTAGAAAGGAGATTTTGGCCTACTATACCACGCTGGCCAGACGGGTTGATATAGGTTTTGTTTCAAGTTTTCCTTCTCTTCGTAGTACTGTTGTCCTGAGTAGTTTATTTCCTTAGTCGGCTCTTACGACACCCACTGGATGAATAGGGGTGGTGACATTCAGTATTCTTAATCCGTCACCGGATATATATATGTATGTATATATTCTCCAACCAACTAATTACTGAAAGTTTTTATTAATACCTTCAGCTTTATTTCGGTGACTGTTCTGATAAGCTTTTTATTTTAAATAGCTACTATAAAATCTATGATATCGCGCAGGGTTTTCTTTGCATAGAAAATTTATAATTGATTATGCCTATGTGTTGTCCAATGATTCAATATGATAACTAAATTAATCGAAGAGATAAAACCTTGGCTAACATGTTGTGACGTGTATTAATTACGGTTGAATATTTTATATGAGGAAGGCTTAAGTATAGAATGCGTAAGACTTGTTCATTATAAGTTGAGTTACATTACACTCAATTAAGTTATAATTAATTTAGGTATATGTTCTTTACACTATAATATTGAAATATTTTAAAAGTAAACGTTAAGGTGTCGGACTAACCATCAATAGGAGACGTGTTCGAACTCTTTTAATTGTAATTTAATAGGATATTACG